ATGTACTTTGATTAACAGACCATGATGAAGGTTTAAAAACATTCAACCATTCATTTTCAAAGTAAGAAACAAATGTGTCTAATTGTTTTGTGTGAGATGAAGTTGTTACTCTTTGTTTCAGAATTTCATATCCTTCATGAACACGATCAATGGGTAGTAAAGCTAAATCCATAAAATCACGTAATAGTTCTCTTAATTCAGTATCATCGTGGTACAACTTCATCATACCAAGCTCTTGTGCGTTTCGATAACACAACTGACAAAAATGAAACCAGCAGCCTGTAACAATTGTTTGTGGTAACTAGATTTTATAAATACAAGAGAGAACAAACTTAAAGATAAAGTAGGTGAAACAAGACAAACACATACACCTCTTTAGCTACAGCATTCGTAAAAGCCTGTTCAAAATCACAAATAATGGTCAAAGGTTTTAAATTAAGACCCATTTTTGATTCAATTCGTTTTAAACATCTCAAAATTGCTTCATATGTTTCATGTCGCCTGTTCGATGTGAGAATAAAACATACTGAAACAACTATAAATATAAGAAAATGAATAGAAGAGAAACTAAACTTCAATTCAAAATAGAAGAATATTATATAACATTCAACATTGTTTCTCTTGCGCACTGTTTGACCTTCTCCATCTATAGGTGTATTATATTTTTTTTCTCTAATGTTTTTCCTCTTCGCTTTTATGTAAATAGATGTATATTATTGCACACACACAGAAAGACACATATCGGCTTGTCCACGTAACGCGACACTTCGCTGATCAAGTTCATAAAAAAAATTTTCGCTTTCGAAAATTTTGAACACATCACTACATGTAATTTTTAATTCTAAGAACCCGCTTAAAACGCTTTTTTGATAAAAATTGATTTTTGAGTCTTAAAACCGGTTTTTGAACATTCAAAAATCGGATTTTCTATTTTTAGCCGAGATAGTTTTCGAAAAATAAATTTCTAAACATATAGTTTCGTAGAAAATTTAATTCTCTACAAAATGGCGTATTTGGTTTTGAGCTTCAGCGCTTTAGAAAATTTGTACATATTTGTACAATTTCCGACTTAATTTATAGTTTTTGACCTTCCAACGCGAGGTAGCGACTTTATTCTTGCGTATGTCGGCTGACTGTAGCACGAATAATTATCTGTATAATATCAAAATCTTCTAATCATGTTAAGTCCCTCGAAAACACTCGACCAAAATAGTGCGTAACGCCGTTACGTTTATGTTTTGATGTTTTTGCCTTAACTGAAGATATTGGAAAAATTCTTTTTTTTACCATCGGATAGCCCGTTCGATGCTCTACAATTTCTGTGCTAAAAGCTTTTCATTATGACCTTTACCTTTGTCGGAATTCATGTTTTCGTTGACAGCGCTCGAAAAAAAGGGTCTTTTTTCGTAACGCCGTTACGGCCTACAAAAACCGTTCTCAATATTCGAGACTTCATGCAAAAAATTTCGTTTTTATACTGTAAATGGGGGTCGACGAGCTGCATCGAATGGCGTTTAAATGAGCTTTTTAATTATTTTAGTTTCCGAGATAATTTCATTTTAGTGGGTCCAAAACGTAACACCGTTACGTTTGGACAAGCCGACATACCCTCTCCATTCTGCGAAGCATGAATAACATAAAGTTGTTCAAATAATTTGGTGATACTTTAAAAGTGCCATCAGCAAAAAGTATATCAGAATGGAACAATGCTTTTAATTCTTCGTCGGGCGCAAATATTAATAAACGTCCACCATAAGCACTTTTTCTTTTATCATATATTAAAAATCTTTCATTAGCATATGTTTGTTAATAGACAGTTGGAACTACAAATTTTTGGTCATTTGGTAATGGTGGATAATTTTTGCGACGTAATTTCTGTAAACCAGATTCTAAAAAATGAGGAAAGATTATGAAAAAACAAATAAATATTAACAAGGGAAGAATAAATTTATGTACCGATTTGTGCTGGAAGAGGCTTTGCTCGTTTTTCTTTGATCGTTAATTCAGCTTTTCGAGACTCATCTTCAACAACCGCTTTGATGGAAATAAATTCATCAAGAATGCGACTTTTAATTTTTGACAAAATTTCACGCTTTCGAGTATCACTTAGACCAGGTAAATGAGAATGGAATTATCCGTTCCAATGACTAAATTCTTGTTTACCCTTGAGTGTATAAACGACTGCTTTACAATTTTCATTTCTCCGCACACATCTCCAACCAACAGTATTTTTTGTTTCACTGATATATAAATAACCATAACTATTCATAAAAATCATTTTATCACCTCGGGTTGACGTGCCGGTAGTAATGTCTCCTTTTACCACTGGTTTGTTCATAATAGTATTTGAATCATCAGGATACATATCATCGTCATCTTCGTTCGATGAACCTAATGATAACATAGGATAATCATTTTTCACGGTCTCTGTTGTTGATGTTGGTAATTTATAACAGGCGGCGTTGTTGATAAAATTGATTGACGATCACAAGAATGAGATGATGCTGTTTTCTTATTTACTTGTTGTTCAGCTATTTCATTTTCATGTGTTGTTGGCAATATTAGTTGTTGATCAGAAAATAAACTTTCAAGTGATATATCCATTTCGGTACCTAATCTTTCATCTTCATGATCATGATAATTATTATTTTCAACTGTAGTTTCAATTTGTGAAGGTGGTAGTTGTTGTTCGACTGTGGAACACGTTTCAGGTTCAATAGAAGTTGTAGGAGGCTGTGCTTTCAGTTGTTTTTGCTTTTGTTGTGATTGAAATTTTCGAGTTGTTTTACTGATTACCATTGACTTTGATACCTGTGTTGATGTTGTTGAATTCGCTGGCAATGTTGTTTCTTCAGCGATCTGAGATCGTAATACACCAGAGCGAGTTGTGACAGGCATTAATCGAATAGTTATTATCTAAACTGACATGTGGCAAAAAAGAAAAAATAGACATAGCTAAAGATGCTGCAATATATAGAACTAGAATAATAGTGATCACAACTAGACGAAAAAAACAATGAAAGAAATAAAATGGACGAAAAAGAAAAAGAAAAGGTTGACGCTTTATTAAGGTTACATTATTCCAGTCCTGTTTTCAAATTATTGTCTTATTTTTCGATGTCTAAGATTAAGCGTATTATCTTTTCTGAGAGAGTATTTTTTGATAAGCATTCTATTGGTTTAAGCTATTTTTATTCAGAAGTGAATATATCTAATAACTCTTCTCCTAATGCGCCGAAGCATTACATAGTTGAAGAGTTGTTTAATACGATGTTTTCCTGACCGTACATAAAATACGTAACAAGAAAAAAAAAGAAAAAAGAAAAAGTTAAGGAAATGAGAATTGAAAAAGAAGGAAGGTTGATGGAATGTTACAGTTGAAATCTGGCTGTCTCAATTACATATTGTATTATAAGCTTATAAAGATCTTTATACAATTGTCGTTTAAGCAGATCGTTGTTCAAAACCGAAAAGTCCACTCTCATCTGATTAAGAGCTATATCTGCCCTTTTATCTACTCCCTTTACAGGCAATATGGTCTTAACAAGTTTAAAATGTTGTAACAAATCTTTTGCAAACGCTTTACGTGTAATAACTTTTCTCAGCTGCAAGGGGAGAATGTTCCATATCTTAATTGTATATGGAAAAACGAAAGACAAAAATGTTTCAGTTTTTCCATAGATCGGTTGAATCAGATTTAACTCGTTTGATCGCGTACTATATGCACAATTTACTGCGAATTTTACATGCTTACATAAAAAATGCGAAGCTTATCTGGTAATGACCTTATGCATTAGCTTTAATTTGAACACTTCGAATGATTCATGTTATTCTATCCATCCAAGAACTTCCATAACTTCGGTTTATTACTTAAATAAAGTGCATCAGAAACAATTAATTAGCATGATACTGTAGCTGATCGAATATATGAATGTTATGTTTATTAATGTGGACGCTCATGCGTAAGTTAGTATGGGGAAAACAAAAGATTTGTATATTTGGTTTAGTGTAGATGTGGTAAATATTTTTTTAAACTTCTTCATTCGATTTAAAATTTTATTACATTTACTCAGCACATATCTTTCATGAGCTTTCCAGTTTAATTTTTGTGTTAAAATCACTTCCAGATGCTTATGCTCAGTACTGTTGTGTTCAGTACCCAAGCAAAAAAATGCCTTTGAGATTATCTAGCTATAAAAATATGTTATCGGGCAATATCGGCTTGTGATAGCTAGCTATCCGTACCACTTTTATTGAGTTAGCTAGCTATATCGAGTATGATA